TGACGGTCTGATCTGACCATCTGTTTCTTATCTGCTTGCTTTATTTTTTTTTAATTTGCAAATTTATTTGAGGAACGGATTCTGGGCTTGCCAGCACCAGGCGTCAATCCTCGCCCCCCCGGGGTGGGGGGGGCTTAAGCCGAGGTGGGAGTCTCCAGGTGGTTTTCCGTGGAACCAGTGTGAGCAGTGGAGTCATAAAATACCTTTAAAGTTTCTCCAAGGAGGACGTGTCTTATCATACTGGATATCTCCTGGATTATTTGCACTTAAAAAAATAAACCTTACAGTTTTCATACATGGCAGGAAAGTGATTTATAAAAAGTGAGCTTGGAAAAAGAAACAACAAACGTTTCCTTGGCTGAGCCGTGTTAAAGGGAAGATAAAGTGTCTGCCATGTCAGATTCCCACAAGCCAGCACTGAACGCTCCATGTACAGCAAAAAAATAAAAAATAAAAATCAGCAGGCACTCACAGGGAGCTGATAAGCTGTGATCCATGGAGCTCCTGCTTTCATCAGACATATTTATTTCTCCGAGACAGCGCACCAACAGAGGAATAATCCACTGTGAGAATTAATGCAACTGCTCCTTGTTATCGCAGCTTTAAAGGCTGTTTTATGCAGAGATTATCCTTCCTAAATGTGCTGTAAAGAATTCGCAAATCTCCTCAAGCTGTGCTTTTTTTATTCTCTCCACAGAAAAATTCCTCACAGATGTTTGGGGATCTGATTGCAGGTGGTGGAGGGTGGAGAGTGTTAGCCTGGCAAAAGTATTCACTCCCTTCTACCTTTTCTTGTTTTAGTATTTAATGTGGCAGATCAACACAAAACAACTGAATGGCAATGATGTGGTTTTTAGATATTATTACAAATAAAAACCTAAAAGTATTGTTATTTTTGTCATTGGTCATGTAATGTAGTTAAGCACTTTCATTTTTATCATTTTTTTCTCATACTATGCATTTTCCCCACACTTTCTTTCTCATTTATAATAAACAACAAAAACACACTATGCACTATAAATACCTGAAGGACAGCACTGGACTGCATTTGTGATATTTCTCAACATTTTGTTTTGTTTAATTTGATTTGTATACACTATAATAATAATAATAATAATAATAATAATAATAATAAAGACAGAATCTGAAAAGTGTGGACTGGAAAGGTATTCAGGCTCCAACAGTCAATAATTTGCTGTACAATATTTTAATGGGAATCATAACAAAAATATCTTAAACATTTTCTGGACTTTAGCTAAATTTCCCCTTTTTTAAAGCATCTTTTAGTTTTTAAAATTACATAATTTGTACTTAAAATGCACAAAAAAATTATATATCAATTACAGATGACCCCCTAGTTTACTGCATTCTGCTGCTATGACACAATCAGGAGTGAAGGTGGATGAGAGTGTGTATGGAGAGCCATTTCAGCCAAAATTAAATAAATAAATGGTTGAAATAAATAAACAAATGAGTAAAATAAATCAATAAATGAAAAATGAGTTAAATAATTGTCATTTTTATTCCCATTTATATTTGTTCATTTATAAACTTATTTATCCTCAGATTAATTTAACCATTTTTCATGTTCCCATTTTCATTTGTCCAATTTTATTTTTTCCCTTTTTTGTTTACCCATTTTTCATTTATCCCTTTATCCATTTACCCATTTTCATTAATCTATTTTTCATTTAATCACTTTTCAATTTCCCTTTTTCATTAACCTATTTTTTTATTTATTTTTCATATATCAATTTTTCCATTTCCCATTTTCATGTATCCGTTTTTCATTTATCCCTTTATCCATTTACCCATTTTTCATTATTCTATTTTTCATTTAACCACTTTTCAATTTCCCCTTTTCATTAGCCCAATTTTTATTTATTTTTTACTATTATCCATTTTTCAATTTCCCTTTTTCTTTTATCTATTTTTAATTTGTCCATTTTTCATTTATCCCTTTATCTAGTTACCCATTTTTCATTAAAATATTTTTTTAATTTAACCACTTTTCAATTTCCCTTTTCATTAACCCAGTTTTCTATTTTCCAGTTTCATTAAGCTCCATAAACCTGCCTCTGGATGTTCCAGTTCACTTACGATGTACAGTAAAGTCTGCTCCTTATTGTTGGATCACAGCTGATAGCTACGAAGGTGTTCCGAACCTTCAGTCGTAAGCCAACTTCAGCGGCCGCTTCGTCCAAACTATAAAAACTCCCGATGGTGAAGCTCTGAGTCCATCAGAGCCGCCAACTGAAACACGTTCTGTCTGAGTGGCCACACGAAAAATAAAGTCAGGAGTAATAACACTATTTTCTAATGAAGTTAATGAGCTTCAGCTTATTGATAACCTGTTAGTAGGTCGCCATCTTTCTTGAAGCAAAGGGCGATGTGACACTAATCAACCAATTGGGGAAGTTGTAGCCTGATGACGTGCCTCACCTCATTTGCATTTATTATTTTCCCCCTTTTACCGAGTTTTGAGGGGAAAGTAGAATGTGATAAATAAGAAAATAAGGAAATACTAAATGAATAAGGGAAATTGGAAAATGGGAAAATTAAAAAATTTTCAAACAAATGTTAAATGAAAAATAGATAAAAGAAAATGGGTAAATAAAGGGATACATGAGAAATTGATTAATGAAACTGGAAAATAGAAAATTGGGTTAATGTAAAGGGAAATTGAAAAGTGGTTAAATTAAAAAAAAGATTAATGAAAAATGGGTAAACGGATAAAGGGATAAATGAAAAACAGATGAATGAAATGGGAAATGGAAAAATTGATATATGAAAAATAAATAAAAAAATGGGTTAATGAAAAAGGGAAATTGAAAAGTGGTTAAATGAAAAATGAATTAATGAAAAATGGGTAAATGGATAAAGGGATAAATGAAAAATGGGTAAACGAAAAAGGGAAAAATTAAAATTGGACAAATGAAAATGGGAACATGAAAAATGGTTAAATTAATATGGGAATAAATAAATGTATAAATGAACAAATATAAATGGGAATAAAAATGACAATTACTTATTTAACTATTTTTTTTATTTATTTCACTCTTTTTTTATTTATTGATTTATTTTACTCATTTGTTTATTTATTTCAACCATTTATTTATTTATTTAATTTTGGCTGAAATGGCTCTCCATACATGTGTGCCAGCAGATCCACTGAAAAGAAACGTAAAAACAGAAAAAGAAAAGTTGAAGGCGGTGTCAATGCGAAGTTTCCTTTTTTTTTTCTTGCAGACCCGTGTGTTTGCTGGTCCTTTTGTTCTGCAAATCTCTTCGCAGACTTGAGAAATTAGAGTCACAGAGCTCATTTTGCGCTGTCGCCGCTTATTTTTATTTTTTAATCTAATCTTCAAGAGGAGGAAAGGAAAAGCGCGATGCGATTGCGATCTAATTACGTTTCTATTCCTCTCAGCCTTCACTCTGATTTCGTCGTTTTGTCTCTTTATGTATTAAGGATCAAACACTCACAGATAAAAAGTGACAAGTGACAGCTGCAAAATGTGGCTCAACTTGCAGTTTTAACAGCCCATTTAGCGCCTGTGATTGTGATGGAAAACGAGGAGGTTGAGATGTCCAGACCTGTTCCAGGACCAGAGACGCCTCTCCTTTTCAAACGAAATCACGGAGCAAATTAAGCTGTAAAGATACCTTTAGATTGAATTAAGACAAGTTGATAAAATCTTGGAGAAGATGACAGCTCCACATTTCCTAAAAAGGAAAGTCCCCTGATAAATACCAAAGAGATTATATGGATCAGCTAACCTTTTAATATGTTGTGTTGGGAAATATTTGCAGTTTTTACTTTAAACTTTGAAGGAAATGTATTACTCTGTCATGTCTGTTGATATAATTTATATTTTTCAGATTTTTTTTTCCCACAGGAACATATTGGTAAATTGCAGAAATGAGGGATAATAAAAAAATGGAATTCAATTTATGATCTAAAGCAATCCATATTTTAAGATCTGAAGGACTACACTGTGTCTGTTTTGAGTTAACTTCTGTATGATAAACTGGTAGTGGCAAATTTTATTTATATGATCATAAAAGGTGGTAATATTGGCACTTTTAAATAAATTTTGAACATCAAATGACCCGCCTAATGGAGCGTTTATTGGTGGAGCTTCATTTTGATGTGAATGAGTCCGATTTTTCACTGAGCTTATTCCATGTTTTTATTAATTTTTATTAAAGATGTAGATAGATGAAAAAAATAGGAAGAGGAAGTTATTGTGTCATCTCTCTTTTTCTGTCAATTTTGGTTGCTTTGGATATCTAGTTGACACTAAAACGGGAAAGCCAGGTCAGTCAGGGAAGTGGGAAAAAAAGTTAATTTAGTTCACAAGCATTCAAATGACCTCCTGACCTCAAGTACCTCATCACGTCGGCCATAGGACAAACATACAGAGCAGAGTCTTTCCTATTTGTGAATTTCTGGCTGAGCATCTGACAAAAATGTGGAAAAAAACAAAAAACAAAACTGAAGTCAATTTTGCAGAGTTTCTGCAGAGTTTTTGTGAACATAAGAACGGTCTGATCCTGTTTTTATGCTACTCGTAGACAGAACTGGATGCATTCATACTGACTTTTTTTATGTTGACAGTACCACTTGGTTCTGTTAAAAAAAAAAATCAAATGCAACAATACAGCAGAACTTGTTTGAAACTTTCTAGAAATCTATTTTTAACTTAACTTAATTGACAACTTTTTTGTTTTATTTTGCCAAGTATTTCTTTCATTTCCTCTACAGTGCAGCGTTCGCCTTGCAGATGCAGAAATGCAGTCGGGGGACTGCAGCAGGGCTCCTGGTCCTGCAGGCAGAGTGAAGGGCTGTGCCAGAAGAGGTGAGAGAGCGGGGCAGAGGGAGAGGGGGAGAGAGCTGATAGATGTTTTACTGTTGGGGGAGGTTAGGGAGGAGGGGTGGGGCAGGGGGTCGTTCTGGGAGGGAACCAGGGGTGTAGAGGGCCGAGTTTAAAAAGGCAGACAGCGCCGGCAGCCTCTCACTCTCAGTCGCCCTTTGCTCCTCCAGCAGTGCAGCAGACCTTTTTTTTGTTGTTACTGCTGCTGTTGCTCAGATTCTCTCCACTGGGAACTGTACTGGACGCTTTACCTCTGTTGAGGATTGTTTCTGGTTCGGTTTTGGCACTGCATCATGGAAGCCATCACTGTGGAATATTCGGACAATTATGAATATTACGACGACAATGAAACTGCCTGTGACTACTCGGAGTGGGAGCCCTCTTACTCCCTCATCCCCGTGCTCTACATGCTGATTTTCATCCTGGGCCTGTCGGGCAACGGTGTGGTCATCTTCACCGTGTGGAGATCCAAGTCCAAGCGCCGGGCCGCAGACGTCTACATCGGGAACTTGGCCCTCGCCGACCTCACTTTCGTCGTCACCCTGCCTCTCTGGGCTGTGTACACGGCTTTGGGCTACCACTGGCCGTTTGGCGTGGCTCTGTGCAAGATAAGCAGCTACATCGTTCTGGTCAACATGTACGCCAGCGTCTTCTGCCTCACCTGCCTGAGTTTTGACCGCTACCTGGCCATCGTGCACTCCCTGTCCAGCAACAAGCTGCGGTCCAGGGGCACCATGCTGGCATCCCTCGGCGCCATTTGGTTGCTGTCCGGGATCCTGTCCCTGCCCACGCTGCTCTTCAGGACCACCATGCAAGACCTCAACAACAATCAGACCACATGCGCCATGGACTTCAGCCTGGTGACCATAAACCAGGGCCACGAGAACCTGTGGATCGCTGGACTCAGCCTCTCCTCGTCCGCCTTGGGCTTTCTCCTGCCCTTTCTGGCCATGACCATCTTCTACTGCTTCATCGGCTGCACCGTCACGCGCCACTTTAACAATCTGCGCAAGGAGGACCAGAAGAAGAAGCGCCTGCTCAAGATCATCACCACCCTGGTGGTGGTGTTTGCCATCTGCTGGACTCCCTTCCACGTGCTGAAGAGCCTGGATGCCCTCTCCTACCTGAACCTGGCCCCGACCTCCTGCGGTGTCCTACGCTTCGTGCTGCTGGCTCACCCTTACGCCACCTGCCTGGCCTATGTCAACAGCTGCCTCAACCCGTTCCTGTATGCCTTCTTCGACCTGCGCTTCCGCTCCCAGTGCTTGTGCCTGCTCAACCTGAAGAAGGCCATGCACGGCCAGATGAGCTCCATGTCGTCCACTCTCAGCGCCCAGACTCAGAAATCGGAGATCCAGTCTCTGGCGACCAAGGTTTAGAGACCGAGGCACGGACGGACACGTGGCTGCAGGACAGTCCCGGCTGGAACCACTGGAACACTTGTCAGAACCAAGACTGTACGTGCTGGTTGTTTAAAGCTGGTGAGGAGGCATGGTGAACTTTGAACTTTTCCCCGCCTCCAGTCATGAATTCCAATGTGTATCCCTCCTGTTCTGCAACGAGAAGTTGATGCTTTGTGTGTCGTTCTGACTTATAAAGCCAGAGCCAGCTGGCTGAGCTCTTCGGCTGCTCTGGTCCTCAGATTCACATAGAGAGAGAGAGGGGGAAAAATAAAAAGAAAAGTCTATATTTTTTTGTTTTCTTGTCTCCACAGGAGGTATAATTTGTGAACTGAAACCTATATACACTGGATGAAACATATGGCTGTACAGTATTTTCATACCCTTCTGTCGTCCGCATCTCTTTGCTGTGTTTTGTTTTCTAAGCACTTGTCGGGACTTAGTGAGCCGGGAGATCAAACGGAAAGCCTGGTGGCAGAGGGAGGGAGGTGTAAGAGGAGAAAAGGTGTTGCAGCTTAATTATATAGTTTGCGAAGAAGAAGAAGAAAAAAAAAACAAGGTGTGGGGTGATGGGGGCAGTAGAAAGGCAGATGGTGGTTGACAAATGTTGTGGAACAGGAGCGGGTGGAGTGGGGTTTTCTTTCTTGGTGTAGCTGCGGCACTAAAAGTGGGGAAATGCAAGCTGATGTATATGTTGTATTTTTTTTTTAACACTGTAACTAACTACTGCATTAAAGACATGTGCTCCAAACCTGGACTCCTCAGACTCAATGAGTATGTGTGAGTGTGAGTGTTTTACAAGTGTGTAATATTATAAAGAAGGGAAAGTTCTGATACCAAATGTGAATATTTAACCTGCATCAGTTTCATCACCCCGACCTGTTATTTCAGTGTCGAGTAACCGAACCCCCCCCAAAGGGCCAAAGCTTTGTTATGAATTAGCCTTGTGTTGGGTTTACACCTTCAGACTAATAGATCTCTAATCTCTATTGATTCACGGCCAGTATCCAGACTGTAACCGGATTATGCAAAGCAGCACCCATCCTGCGTTTGTGTATTTGATACTCAGTTGTGATTTCTTCCTAACTGTGGGGCTTTAACTGTTTGATGACACAGTCCTGTGGGTTTCCATTAAGGTCTAAAACCAGAAGGAGCGGGGGGGATTCATGTGGTCTCAATTATAGAGGCAACTGACAAATTAAAAGCTCCTCCAAGTACTTAAAAGTTGTCCAAAACTGGAGGGTTTTTTTGCAATCACTACAAATACAAACATCAAGATTATCCCAAACCCAAATGTTCACAGCATAATAGGCTCATTACCTCTTGGGTGTCCTTTGCTTTGACAGCGATGAGTCCTGTTAGACATAATTACCATTTAAGACATGGCAGAGGCAGTGGGGGGGAAGCGGGACTCTGATCTTGGCAGAAGCTGACCTGGAGAACAAGTCAATATTTGTCCCTGCTGACAGGGGATGGCAGTTAGAGCGAGGGAAAGAGAGGGCGGGGTGGGGGTACCGCAGATGCTGCAACGTGCAGAGTTTCAAGACAAAAAAAAAAAAAACACAGACTGGAGCAGAGAGGTGAGAAAGCTGGGCAAGAAACACTTTGTGCTCCACAACTCTAGAAATCTCAGCATGTGCGAAGCAGAGAAAACGTGAAGCCTCAGGATTTATTGCGTCTCGGCGGCGGGTCCGATCGTGTGTTACTCCTGCTCCGTCATGGAAAGAGCGGAGCAGATTTGATCTCTAGGTGGACCACAGGAGGGTTACAGTGATGGATGCAGGAGCTGCAGCATATTTATCACGGACAGCTCCGACACGCACTTCGTCTGCACCTCGTCCCGTCAGACACCTCTTACTCCAACAAATGGAATAATCAGAATGCAGCTTTCATACTGAATATTCATACCACAAAAAAAAACAAAAAAAAAACACAAATCATCTGACATCTGAATATAAATGTAGATACAAGCAAAGCGAAATAGGGAGGGGTTAGTCATGCATGTCGAACTGGTCAGACATGTTGAGATGACCTGACCTGACAGCTTGTCTGATGCAGTTAGCAAACAAGTTCGCCTCGGGAAAATCCACTCAGAACGCCAGCTGAGCGAAGCACCGGGGGTCCTCGGGGGACAACGGCGCCACAGATACAACTGTTGCGTTGGGTCGCAGAGTTCATCTAAATGTTGTCTGCGCCCGTTTGCACCCCGGGGGCCCGTTTCTGTTATGTGTGCCGAGAGCTTGGATTGGTTCGCGTTCATTTTCCTACAGAAAATCTGCCGGTCCAGGGCTGTTGTTACTGCTTAATTGCTAAATGCAAGTTCAATTGTGACGTATGCTCAACATAACAGTTTTAACCTTATGCCTGCAATAAATAACACATCATATTTACTTTAAGCTACCTTGAGTCGCACACATAGAGGGATATTCCAAAGGTTTTGAAGTGAGATTGTTTTTGTTTTTCTTTTTTGGTTTATTTTCATACATGACAGTATGACTCCAACTGTGCTAATTTAGTGTAAACGTCCAAAACGTTCTTTTGTAAGATTGTAAGAAGTTAATATCTCACTTTGGGTAGATAACTTGTTTTTGGTGTCTTCATTTAGTCTAACTCCAGACTATTTGATCCTCTCCAAGACAACAACATGTTACTCTTGATAGGAAATATAAGAGATATAAGAGAATCTCAACTTAAAAATCTTAGACCATCACTTTAATGGTGGAGAGACTAGAAGCAGAATGTCTTTCTTTTGAAACCTTTTCAAAACAAACTTCAATAATTTAGCTAATTTATTATTCTAATGTCTTTTTCAAATAAAACTACTTATTCTTCTTTGTGAAATAGAAAAAAAAAACACACTAAGTTCAAGACAAGACACAACAAAACCTTTTAAATGTCGGGTTTCCAGCCACGATGTCGACAGGTTAATAAATACAACCCGTCTGTTTTCCCTTAATTTCACCATCAATCTGTGTTTCCAACGTGCAGAAGAAGTGAAGCAGCCCTCACAGGCGCCTGCTCAAATATCAGAGTATGAGCTCAGTGTGAGGTGCCACGCCGAGACGGGGCATCCGAACCAAAACACGACGGCTGTCCTTCCCTCAGATCTCCCTGCTGTTCCATCCCACCCAGGCAGCAACAAATGCACCCCAGAGTTACCGTATGCGTGTCAGCACGGACACGTAAACAGACACCCGACTGGACTGTCAATGCCAACCTTCTGCAGCATTCATCCACCTGTTGCCTAAAGATGAATACATTTTTTTAAAATTAAATGTGAGGACAGAAGTGATGTAATGTAAAATCATTTGCAGTTGAAGGGAAAACATTAAAAATGCCAAATCAGTCAAAGCTGGTTGGTCAAAATGTTTTCACAAATACATACAATTTTCGTACTTAAACATATTTGGTACATCTGTGTTAGTTTAGCTTGGGTATCCCTATTTCCTATACATTAAATTAACTGTATTTTGCCATGGCTCGTTTCCGTGGTGAAATCTCAGAAACTCTGGGTAAACATGTCAGATTTCATGGAAATCCCCCTGCTTTTACGCTCACAAAGAAGCTGACAGCACTGTGATGTCAAAATGTACTCAGGATTAAGGCTTACATTGTGCTGGTAATACAGTGCCATACTGTCTAATGACATGAGGTGTCTGAGTCTAAGCATGACCCCGGGTCCGGTCTAGACAGCAGAGGCTCTGATGGACCAAAGCAAGTCCGTCCAGCCCGACACAGAAACCTGAAAAAGTTTGACTTTTCCAAAACTTCCTCCGCCCTTCAGTAACGTTACGTTTCAGTCGCCACAGTTTCTGCCTTTTCTCTGTTATTTATCTAACATAGGCAGTTCTCCCAAAGTATAGCATTCACAATTCCATCCACTGTTGTCAAAACATAAAAATACAATTTAAACGTGCTTTGTTTTCAGAAAATTTAAAGCTCATCATCTCTGAAATGATCTTGTTGTCTCAGACCTGGATTTAAATATACTGCTCAAAAAAATAAAGGGAACATTTCACTTTACTTTTGTGTGTGGCTCCAAATCCAGGCCTCCATTGGTTAATAAATTTGATTTCCATTGATGATTTTTGTGTGATTTTGTTGTCAGCACATTCAACTTTGTACAGAACAAAGTATTCAATGAGAATATTTCATTCATTCAGATCTAGGATGTGTTATTTGAGTGTTCCCTTTATTTTTTTGAGCAGTGTATATAAGAGAACAAAAAAGTGAAGATAAACCTCAAATCTTTACACACTTTCTCACATTACAACCACATATTGCAACCTAGCTTCTTGGGATGTTATGTCTCTGTAGGTTTTCAAAACTCCATTTGTCTTCAGTCTCCTTTATTCAGCACCTTCAGCTGCAACGTCTCTTCTAGTTTTGAACTTCTAGAGACAATTTCTTTTCACCCATTCTTCTTCACAAAACCCGCCAATTTGACTGGAGAGCATCTATGGACACGTATGTTCAAGTATAGCCAGAAAGTCAGGTCAGAACTTTGACTATACCATTAAGACATACAAACATGCTCTGACCGCTACACTGTGGCATTGCAGCTCCAGCTGCAGGTCCATGCCAAAAAGTCTAGTGTTGGTGCAAACATGTTTACTGTCAGTCTATTTACCTTCTCAACAACTCTCATCATCCATCCATGCAGAAGAAAAGCGTCCCCTCAGTAGTTTTTTTTTTTACCTGTCGTGGTGTGCAATGATTGGTTTTGATCAAACGTTATTAACCACTATACGTCTAGGTCAAAAAGTCACATTTGGTCTTCTGGTCTCATAAGATCAAAGCATTTTCTTCCACATGCTTGCCGAGTCCCCATCATGGTTTGTAGTAAACTGCTGTCAGTGTAAAGAAGGCTGAATAAAAATGCAATCAGCACTTTTTAGATTAGTTGCAAAATAAATATCAAAACCCGTTTATCAATTCCTCCTCCATCGAACCGTCATGCACCACTGTGTGTTGGCCTAACCCATGAAATCCCAATAAAAAAAATTTTTTTTGGACTGCAGAGTGACAAAATGTGAAAACATTTAAGCATTCCGGATAGCTCTTCTGCAAAGTGCAACAATCCCTCTGAAGTATGTGATTCTCGTGCTAAAAACAAAAACAAACTCCGCATTCCCACTCTCAGTTATCTCCATATCCGTTTCCCTCAGCTGGCCATGTAGTCTGGTGCTCCACAGAGCTTGGGGAAAAAAGAAATTACTCAGATTACCTCAAATGTTATCAGAAACGACTTTCACATTCACGAGGAAAACGTGCTTAATCATAACCTCACACAAGCTGTTAGAAAGCTGCTGCCACATGCACTCTGCGGCCTCCCTCTCCAGCCCCCTCCCACACCAGCCCTCATATGATGACTGTAAATTGTAACCATGTTAGGGATATCCATGAAATCAGCTTGCCTCTGTAATCTGTCTGCTTCAACCTGGAAGTGGCCCCTCGGAGTAATTGTGCAGACCTCGAGAAAAATGGCCTGTACAATGAGCTGAGGGGGGTTTAATGCTGATGCTGTTATCTTCTGATCCATCCATCCATCCAGATTAGACTTAATTCACCAGTGAATATTTCCAGGAGAGACCAGTGTCTCCCTGCCTCCTCCATACTAATGACTGCTGCTGCTGCTGGAGATCGTTAGGCGGGAGACGCTGCTTCCGTAAACGGCTTGGCTTGGCCAGACCTGAATGTGCAGCACGAGCCCTCACCGCCCCCTATTCCGGATACGGTGGTTCGGGGAGGCCTTGTCGTTCCTCAGACACAAAGATCCTCTTCACAGCCTTCTCTATCCCGTCCATTGTGAGAGGCCGGCTTTGAGGCTCTGGGCTCCTGAGCCCGCCTCGGAGGCTAAATGCATCTCCTGTCACTGGGCAAGTCCCAGTGCCAGTTCAGCTGCTGGAAGCACTCAGGTGTTCAGTTCACAACAACAACAAAAAACAAGTTTACACCTCCACCAAAAAGAGAGAGAGAGAGAGAGAGAGAGAGAGAGATAAACAAAAACATTGTCCTTGTTTTTGTTTGTCAGACAGCTTTCGTCATGACTACGTTGAATAAGAACTACCAAGTTGTTTTCACTTGATGTTATTTACGTTTATCCAGTCGCTTTCAGGAAGGCAGTTTCTTCTGAGCTGCTGTTATTTGTTGGGCCACTAGGGAGCAGCAACACGCTGCAAAAATAAAAAAAAGAAAGAAAAAAAAAAGGCACACCCTCCTCTCCGACTTTACACCAGTATTGGAGTCTTGTACTGTGATTTACATTATACATTTTGCTCATCTGAAAACAAAAAACATTCCTGTATAAAGGAATGGGGGAGGGAGGATTGACACAAAGCAGGAAACAATCAAAAATTGTCACAAAGCTGAAGAGATGTATCATCTTTCTGCTGATCCTCGTCTTCGGGAAACTATTCACACCGTTTAAATTGTTTCACATTTTCCCACTTTACAACCACAAAAGTCAACGTGTTACATTGGGATCTTGTACGATGGACCAAAACAGAAGTAGTAGTTGCGTACCTGTGATGTGGAAGAAAAAAAATATACGTTTTCAAATAGTTTCCTCTGAACAGGCAATGCTTTGCAGAGCCATTAACTCCAACCTCAAGGTTATTTGGGCTACCTGTCAAATTTAGACATATCAGAAGATCCATAGTTTTGCCTATGAATCTTTTACTAATAGGAAAGGACAGAATGATGTCTGTGAATATGATGAGACCACAGCTGTGTTTCACGGTCTTCGCTACGTTTGATGGCGTCTCTTAGGGTGACCATTTCAGTCATTTCAGTGTCTGTAAACCACACCAAAGGATGTGCTGATCAAACTGTCATTTTGTGACATTTCATTATTGATATAATCAATTAATGCAATTAATATGCTAATCTGTTAAGTGCTTAGAGATGCGAACGCTGATGTCCAATTGTGCCACGGTGGAATGATGATTCTGATTCTGAAGATCAGGTTGAAAGATTCCAAGAAAGTATGGCTGCTTGGAAGAAAAAAAAATACTGAAATAAATTAATTATAGTATTGATCATTTAAACTAATAATAGCTTCTCTAATGTCTGATTCTAAGGACATTAGAATCAGACATTCTGATTCTAATGTCAGAATGTCAAAGTAATCCTCTGGATGGGACTCCTTGTGCACAAATTAAGGACTACTGCCATCTGCTGGCCAAATAAACAAATAATGCTGCTAAAGGTTGGTTAGTTTTATAATAGGAGCGTATCTAGGGTATTAGAAGAAAACAAGGTTGAACTATGTTGTTTATAAGTAAAATGTGACAAAGGCTCATCTACTTATAGTTTTTGTATTTAAAAAAAAAATCTTTTAATCTGAAAATAACTACAGACAACTGAATTTAAGCTTGCAGTAGACTTTCTCAAATCAGATATCAGCACTGTCTCTTAAAAGTGTGAAAATGAATATCACTGAATGGTAATGAATTGGTATCTTTATAACAAATTTAATTATTAATGATGTACATTTAGTACATATTTAAGATGATGATTATGATTCAGTTCTGTGGTCCACCACTGTCGTCTAAAATATGAACTCTTCAGCTGTTCTGCTAGGATTTTCATGGTATTTACTCGTTTTCATCCTTTGATTAAAGCTCTGGTTTTCAGAGAAGTTACAAAGAATCAAAAGAAGAAAGTTTTTTTAAAAGTGCATAGTATTACATATATTCTGTGGCACAGTAAGTAATTTTAATAGGAAAAATTATGGAACAGCAGTGATCTTATCAAAACTGGGTGTTACTTCTAAAAAGAAATGACAGAAACTGGTCAGAGCTGCAGGATTTTCTGACTAACTCTGGTTGTGCTAAACATGCGACAACAGTTTCCTGTATTCCACAAATATCTGAAGTTGTGTATTTGTGTGATGGACTGCTGATCTGTTCAGAAAAAAAAAGCATTAAGTTACAGTATGTTCTCTCATGTTTTCACAAAGATAAATTGTGCTATAAAAGTACATTGGCTGTAATAAAATAAACTGGAAATATCTTAAATTTATTTTTCCAAGACAATTTATTATAAACATATTCTCGGTTACAATGTTTCGATACCAAAAAACATGAAACTAATCAACATAATTCAAACATAAGGGTGTCGGCCTTGATTTGTGTGTCTCATGAGGCGTAGCGTTGTCTCCCAAGCAAAGTCAGTTTCCCGTCTTACATTTCGCCTGAATGGACTTCCTGCGCTGATGCAGGAGCAGCTGAGCCGGGGGCAGAGGACTGCGGCCCTGATGGGACTTGTTCCCTGACAGCGGCAGCACGTGATCTCTCACCAGTGAACTTTGACCCTTCGGGGAGCTCCTCGATTTGCCGTGCGAGCCACTGATGATGATGGGAGCAGACGTCTTGGGAATGAGGGTGGTGGTCAGGGTCCTGGTCAGCACCTTTCCTCGCCTGGAAGCCAGCGATGGCGCTACTGAAGCCCTCCGCTTTGTCTCGGCGTCTGCGCCCTCTTGCTGCGGTTTGGAGCGTGTCGGCTGGAGACCGCCAGGTGGACCGCTTGTCATCTTACACTCCAGGTCTTTCAGGGTCTGATCGGTGTAGGCCCGCGTTTCATGACGCACTGCAGATATCTGAGCTTCAAACTCATCTCTTAGCAGCTTCTTACTAGCTTCCAGTTTTTCCTCAAACATTTTACTCAACGTCTCTAACCTTAAATCTCTTTCGTCTTTGCAGTCAATTTTTCCAGCCTCAGTTTCTTTTTCTTCCTCTGCATCCACACCGTTGCCACCAGACTGGCCGTTTGTCTGCTCGGTTGCCGTTTCTATGTCTTTGATTTTTGCCACCAGCTCCAGTATGCTGCTCTTTGGGGCTTTCACCCCCCCGCGCGATTTGATCTGGTTACGCACCTGCTCAAAAACAGACATCATCTTCGTTTGTGCCTCTTTTTCCGTTACGCCGCTCCCTTCCGCACCTTCCTCCTGCAGCTTGTTGGAGGAGACGTGCTCCCCTTGCCCAGCGGAGCCGTCCTGTTGCTCAACCTTTGCAGTACCTGTTTCTGGAACCATCTCTGATGCTGCGTCACTCATTTTTACTTCTAGTCAGCTTTCGGTGAGATTCAGCGATGAGATGAGAAATGCAAGTATGGGGAGAACATAACAGACTTGAGTGCATCTCCTCAGAGAGTCTGAAAACTGCAGGGATTATGGCCCAGAGGGAAAAATAACGTAGTTCAGACCAACATTACAACCAAATTAACTGCCTTTTTAAATTTTTCTTCTTGTTAAAAAAACACAGAAGCAATCTTAAACAACAGAAGAAATCTCTTTGTAAAGAAGCGTGTTAATGTTTGATGCACTTTCCAAACATTCACATGAAATTATCCCACAGCTGAAATTGCATAAGGCATGTAATTATTTTATCTAGAAGGCTGCGTTCTTGTGTCTGGATGAGTGTGGTCGTCTCTAATGACAACAGCAAGGTGCCTGGCAACAGCATCAATAACAGACTCCTTCAGGGACAGAAACACTTGAAGGGGGAAAACCTCGACTTCTTAGAAATGATTAATAAGCTGCTGCTGCTGCTGCTGCTGCTGCTGCACAAAAGAAACAAATCTGCTGTTTGTGCAAATTAATCTTTAATCAACCGGCTGCACTTGAAAAATTAAAGAAAATCCCTATAAGCAGAGGAAAATATTATAAAATTAACTTTCTTTTTAATCAGATTTTGCTTGCATGCATTGAAATGCAGTTATCCTGTCCTGAAAACTGGCTGCAAATCAATAGGAATTTGTTTGTCTTCCATTGGTTTTATAATTGTGGATGTTTTCAAAGAAATTACATAAAATAATCATCTTTAAAACTTCTCAGAAAGAAAATAACAATTCCAGCATTAAAACCAAACAATTAGACTTAAAAGCATGTGACCCAAACAGTGACGCTGCAGGTATGTAGGTAGGCTATGACTACGAAATTCAGCGTCCACATAGAAAAAATATACGTTTTACTGATTGCAAAATTAACCTCAGTTTCATGCAGATGGCTCACAGTTGAGGCTGACAACATTCATGCCTTTATGATTAGTTTACCGACACCAGTGTATTTTTTCCGGACGATGGATTTCATGGGAATGGGGAGCATTTCAAGCCTCACCTCCAGAGAGCCAATGGGAGCCCAGGATGTGTGAGCCTCCTCTTGCCACTAAACACTAACATATGGGCCTCAAATTATTCTAGAAAAATCCTGCTGTAATCCTAAACCTGTGGACAACGACTGTATCTCTGTGCAGATTAAATTAGATAATCATTTATTAGAGCATCACCTGATATACTGCATTTTAAGGCAAGACAAAGGGACACGGTTGACTGCTGGAGAAAAAAAAACAGATATAGATACTTTAGATTGATGTTTAATTTATTGTAAGGATCAAAGTAAGTATTACTGCTCCTGGAATTAATGAAGAGACCGGGAAGTCCAACCAGTCTACTCAAATATTGTCCAAGTGATCATTGTATAACAGCAAACGTAGTTCTCTGTCCTCCACCAATACCAGCTCCTTATTGGTGGGAGTGTGTTCAAAAACGTCTCTCTCGCCTTTTAAATTCAGGCGTTCGCTGCGGGTCTCATTCTGGCAGCCGGGTCAGATCAACGCAGGCAACATGGTAAGTTCATAATTTATTGGACTTTATGGGTCTCATTTACTGCAAACCTTCACAAACAGTGAAATGTATGTGATATTTGTCTGTTTATTCTTGTTTTAGCTGTTTGTCTTTAAAAAATTAACTGTGTGTCTGCTTTTTGCAACAGACAACATACACAGACAAAGGCGAAAAGGTAATTAACCAGCTAATTTGTGTTGTACTGAATATAGATTTTTTTTTTTTTTTACTATTATTTATCTGTCACTGGATAAACAAAAACAAAACCAGATTTTAATGGAATTTATATTTTAAGATGCGTTTCTATTGGATTTGGGCAATAATGAATGTGTGTAATGTAAGGTTACACAGAAGTAATCCATTAGAAAGCCCCTTTTTTCCTAATTTCCTTCTGTCTTCAGCATGAGCAGGGCAGGTTCATCTGCTTCGATCATCTAACTTTCTGGGTTGGAAATGCAAAGCAGGTAATTTATGTCATAAATCTTCACGTTTTTGTTCCGTACATACTGCCATCAGTTCTTTTCAAGCGGTAAAACAAACAGCTCTTTTTTATTACTAGACCGCCACATACTGATATCCCCCCCAAACTGTAAGGGAAACAGTCACCAGAAGATGGCGCTGTAACACACAAATTCAAATTCGGCTTGTTTTGCAATCGAGCCAAATTTGAGGTATTCTGTCATAAAGGAATGTAATAATCATTGTCGCCAACAGGCTGCGTCGTATTACTGCAACAAGCTCGGATTTGAGCCGCTGGCTTACCGAGGCCTGGAGACGGGCAGCCGTGACGTGGTGTCCCACGCAGTGAAACAAGGGAAGGTGAGGAGAACCTGGAAGAACATCACACCGCACCGCTAAAAAAAAATAAAATAAAAATGAAAATCAATAAATGTTTGATGGATAATTGGAGGAGTATTAATGATCTGACCACCACAATTAATGAACTTATTTTGAGCAATTCACAAATCTGTCCTAAGGATGACGAGTTGGGATTATTAAACCCAGGAAAACTTCAGCAGAGTCTGTTTTGTAGATCTGCACAGAAAAGATGAAGTCAGATTAAGGAATTGCTTTTAATCCCGTTTCTCTTTTCTCTGTTTCACAGATCATTTATGTCTTCTCCTCTGCTCTGAATCCTGGTAGCAAAGGTAAAGCACTGATCAAGAATCGTGACATTTTTTTAAGAGCGGAATCGTCCCTTTTAAACATTACTGGTTGTTTTCACAAGCTGAAAATGGAATCTCAGGAAAAAAAAAAATTCAAACATGATTTCCAGTCATTTTTCTATGCAAATCAAATAATGTTTCAAGATGTTCTTGAAAGAGAAAACTAAAGATGGTTTAAAACATTAAATATTTCTTATTCAAGTCAAATTCTCAAATTTGTAAAGTTTTTTTTTGTTTGTTTTTTTGCTGCAGGTTTTATAACATTTTGGACATTTGAGTAAAAAATATTAATCTGAAGAATCTCAAATAATAACTGGGTTTTTACGTTCCAGAAATTATGAAACAAGAATCTTAAAACTGACTTCTGGTTTTCAATTCGGCGTAGAGCCGATTTATTTTAAACTCTATACGGCCTGGACTCGTTAACTAAATGTGGATTTGTTATAGCATGGTTTGCAAATAATAGGATTAAGGCTAAGATCCTGCTATTTAAATTTTAAAAAAAGTTTTAGTGATCTGGTTTGTATTTTATCCTGTTTTATTTTTTCTACATTTATTCACACCATCAAAACTCGACTTTTCAAGAATGTGTAGGAACCCTGAATATAAAGGCTGATCCTATGTGGCTAATGAATTTTCTCCAGAGATGGGGGATCATCTGGTGAAACACGGGGATGGAGTGAAAGACGTCGCATTTACAGTGGAGGACTGTGACTTCCTGGTTCAGGTAACGCAGCAGGTTTTGCTACCCAGATGTTTTTAAGCTCTCTTTCAGGGTAAACATAAAAGCTTGTAAGTCAAACACCTCAAACATGCTTTCTTTTTTTTAACAGAAAGCCAGTGAGCGAGGGGCAATTATTATCAAAGAGCCCCAGACTCTGGAGGACAAGAACGGGAAAATCCGGCTGGCTGTGCTTCAGACTGTACATTGAGCGTTTTTGTTTTGTTTTATTCAAACCCAACATTTTAGTCGTTATGATGCATCCCGTGAGAAATAAATTATCTTGTCATTTTTGCACTGCAGTATGGAGACACCACCCATACGTTTGTGGAGAGGAAAGGATACAAGGGATTGTTCCTGCCCGGTTTCCATCCCCCTCTGTTCAAAGACCCTCTACTACCCAAACTGTGAGTAGGCACCTTGCTTTAAAATATGACACACACACACATCCCTGAATTAGAGCCAAAGATTGAGTTTTCCTTCTGTTGCTTTGCAGACCGTGTGGAAAACTGGACTTCATCGATCACGTTGTGGGAAACCAATCAGACGACGAGATGGTTCCAATTGTAGAATGGTAGCGATTGGTCGCATCTTAATTTGTTCATAACTGGACGAGGTGGTGGTCTGCAGAAATCCACATTAGGGGAAAGGGCTTATGGGGAGAGATTACGCAACTCTCCTTTTCTGGCACGAAGCAGGCATCTGGATGACTCTGCAGTTTTAAGAGGGGCTTCAGTGGTTCTTCACATATGGAACTGGTTTTTACCCCCATTATTCAGAAAAGGGCTGAAATGAGGCAGTTCTCTGAACGAGCAACCTCATTGGTTCATTCAAGTCTGACAAGCCTTCGTTTTTTTATGCATATTCCAGTGAAAAATAAAAGCTACATATTTGAAATCAATTAACAGAGGAGGTAGAAGAGAACTGTGTCTGATGCCTTGTTGTGTTGTGCAGTTGTATGAAGTTTGGATTTGCATTTCTAAGGATCTCAGTCATTGGTTGGTTGGTTCCTGGTCCAACAGGTACCAGAGGAACCTCCTTTTTCATCGCTTCTGGTCGGTGGACGACAAACAGCTCCAGACAGAATTCAGCGCCCTGCGCTCCATCGTAGTGGCCAACTACGAAGAGACGGTGAAGATGCCGATCAACGAGCCCGCCAAGGGGAAGAGGAAGTCTCAGATCCAAGCAAGTGTACTGAAGTTGGCTCTGATTAAAAGCAAACAAACACGAATATGTGGATTTAAAGGTTCTTTCCTTACAGGAATATGTGGAGTACTACGGAGGTCCAGGAGTGCAGCATATAGCCATGAACACATCAGACATCATCACATCAGTGAGACTCTACAACTCTGAGTTGTGTGAAATCTATATTAGCTAGGAAGACTAACTATTAAATCCAATTTACTGTTAGATTCGCAACCTGAAGGAGCGAGGCACGGAGTTCATGACAGTGCCAGACACTTACTATGACCAGCTGAGGGAGAAGCTGAAACACTCAAAGGTCAAAATTGCAGAGAACCTGGATGTCCTGCAGGTCAGACCTACACCTGAAGACGACTGGGTGACTTGTGTCTATGTTTAGTCATGCTGAACAAATAAACTGTTATTTCTAATCCTTTTATTTCCAGGAACTGAAGATCTTGGTGGACTATGATGACAAAGGCTATTTGCTTCAGATCTTCACCAAGCCAGTTCAGGACCGCCCCACGGTCTTCCTGGAGGTCATTCAGAGACACAATCACCAGGTCACTGATAGCCTTGGGAAACACACGAGTTAAAACCCCTTAGCGTTCTGAACACAGAAAATAAGTATAAACTGTTAATTTTCCTTTCCAGGGCTTTGGTGCAGGAAATTTCAAATCTCTTTTTGAAGCCATCGAGGCAGACCAGCATGCTCGGGGAAATCTGACCATCCTGACACCAAATGGAGACACAAAGAGCATGTGAAGCAACCCATTAATGGTCTTTGCAACTTAAAAAAAAAACAAGAATTAGTACTGCTCAGGTTCCCAGTGAGTTACTCCGTCCAGTCTGATAATAAAATGCACATTGAGCACTTGGGTAATTCTCAAGATCTTTATTTCTTTCTTCTTTCTTCCCCTCCTTAAACGAACACGCCCACTATTACACTTGCATTCTATTGGCTGAGAGGTTGCTAGGAGATGGTGCTTTTTT